CGCATCTGTTCCTTTCAAATCGGGGCGACTAACATCGGAGCGAGTAGCACTAGTGTTTCGAACTTTTGAAAGGAATACAGTTATTCTTTCCACCGGCTGAAATATTCCTACTCTCATCCTTTTTTTTGGTATCCCTAGTACTGATGAGCCAAATACTTGTGCCATTTTTTATGTTCTACTTTAGGATTATCAACAACAACAATACAAATTAACTTGTCACAACACCAAAAACAATAAATTTTGAGTGAAACTTGACGGCATAACCTGAATTTTCTCGTCTTTTTTCTTCTATTTCGTGCTATTTCCGCTGTTGCCAAACTGTGCATTCACTTAAACGTCGTTTCGTTAAACTGCAGCTGATAAACGCATTAACATATCGGTGAATACCGCATATCAAAACTACGTTTAAATTTACGTCGTTTACGATAAACGACCTTTAGGAAAACGGCGATTTCAGCATTTTTGGTGAATTTGGGCCTAAGTCCAACGATTGACAAACACGAGTTTTATTTTCCTATCTTATCCAAAAAAACGTTTTTGACGTTGACTAGATCAGTCTTGGTTATTATATATTATATTTATTCCTAATAATGAGGGATAAATATAATAACTTATGTTAAATCTGATCAAGGCCTAAAAATATCATCCACAAAGAAAGTTTCAAATTCAAATATCCCGCCAAAATCATTATACTTTGACCCAAGCCTATAGAGGCGCCACATATACAAACTTTTTTTTTAACATGGGTGTTACCATTCTATATCCCCACTTAAACCTTATTCTATGGTTTACCTGTTACCTATGTTTAAAAAAATATGTCAAAATAGTTCTGAATGAAAATTCGTCTTGGTGTTGGTGTGCATTTTAAATCCAGATAAATGTTTCCTAAATTCAAAAAAAAATCAGATTTTACACAAAACACAAGAATTTTGGCCGTTTTTGCTATACTCGGAAGAAAAATCCGTCAATATTCAATAATGAGGAAAAAGGTTTGTTTGGACTTCAGTTCAAAATCAGTTCTAAATTGGATTGCGCTTGCGCATTTGATCATATCAAACCCATATAAAGAAATGCGAAAGCGTAGTTCAATTCTTAACTGAAATCCGAACAAATCTATTGAAAATATTGACATTGGAAGAACTATTTTGAAAGCTGATTTGATTACAGAAACCTTTATTATAAATAGTTCGGATCGCATCCACCGCGCCGTGACGGCGCATTGTTCCCCAAAATTTTATTAAAGTCTGTTTTTTTTTAAAGATAATTCCCCAAGTCAAAAATTTAGTGACTATGTTGGCAACACAAGCCTTTTCTACATAAAAAAATTGAAATATTGACAATTTTACATTGTATTGCCAACATAAAGTCATTTTGACTTTTATCTTTAAAAAAAAAACAGATTTTAGGCAGTTTGCCTTCTATCCGTGAGGATATGTATTCTGTGCACGACAGACTTTCAAGAAACTGAGAAGACATTTCATTACCTGTAAAACAAGGTGCTGGTTGTTTGGATTTTTTGACAAATGTCAAACAATAATTTTATATAGGAAAGATGCTTTTAATTTATTATTCATTTAAAAATCCAATTTGTTACTGGTTATTGCTTTTTATTGCCGTTTGTAGAAAAAATATTGTATGATATTTGTGTTAAAAGTATTTTTAAGGCACTTATGTGAATTGCAGAATTTGCTTCGCTCATTCTGCAAACTTTCACATGCGTGCCTTAAAAATGTACTTTTAACACTTATATCATAAATAAAGTCTGTTTTTTTTTTAAAGATAATTTCCCAAGTCAAAAATTTAGTAACTATGTTGGCAACACAAGCCTTTTCTACATAAAAAATTTGAAAGCTTTGACAATTTTACATTGTATTGCCAACACAATGTCATTTTGACTTTTATCTTTTAAAAAAAAACACATTTTATATGCTTTTCGGCTCCGTGTCATTTGCGCGACAGACGTTTGCGTGAGGGAGAAAAGCGCGATACGAAAAGCGCGAGGGACAAAACCACGACGGAACAAAAACGCGACTGGATAAAAGCGCGACGGACAAAAACGCCAGGTACAAAAGCACGACAGAACAAGAACGCGACTGAACAGAAGAGCGAGAGACAAAAACTCGAGGGACAAAAGCGCGACGGAACAAAAACGCGACTGAACAGAAGCGCGTGGAACAAAAACGTGACTGAACAAAAGTGCGAGGGACAAAAACTCGAGAGACAAAAGCGCGATGGAACAAAAACGCGAGGGACAAAAGCGCGACAGAACAAAAACGCGACTAGAATGAAGAGCGATGGACAAAAACGCGACTGGATAAAAGCGCGTGGGACAAAAGCGCGAGAAACAAAAACTCGACTGGAATATAGCGCGATTGGATGAGAACGCTCAACTATCTACGAGGAATATAGAACGCTTTCCAAAATACAAGACATTAAGACATTCTCAGTGGCTCCGGTTCAAAAGAGCGATATTTGAAATAGTGACATTAAAAAGGCGACATATTTTTAAAGCGATACATCAAAATAGCGATATTCAAAACAGCGACTTATTAAAATAGCGACATTCAAAACAGCGACATGTGAAAAAAGTAGCGACATATCAAAAAAGCGACATTCGAAAGCGCGATACTTGAAACAGCGACATTGCAGAAGAGCGACATATGTAAAGAACTAGATTTAAAACAGCGACATCAACAACGGCGACCTCTAAGCAAAACAGGGACACATCAAATTGTATCAATAATAATCAAAAAAATGCAGACTACTCAAACTAACCCGTTCCCCTAGTGCGATCTTGTCCTCGTAAGTTAGCATTTTATTTGAAAAACAAGGTTGACATTTTTTTAAAATAAAATGCTAACTTACGAGGACTAGATCGCACTAGGCGGACGGGTTAGTTTGGGTTAGTTTGAGTAAGTCTGCAATAAAATGCTAACTTACGAGGACTAGATCGCACTAGGTGGACGGGTTAGTTTGGGTTAGATTGAGTAAGTCTGCAATAAAATGCGAACTTACGAGGACTAGATCGCACTAGGCGGACGGGTTAATTTGGGTTAGATTGAGCAAGTCTGCAATAAAAGCTAACTTACGAGGACTAGATTTTACTAGGCGGACGGGTTAGTTTGGGTTAGATTGAGTAAGTCTGCAATAAAATGCTAACTTACGAGGACTAGATCGCACTAGGCGGACGGGTTAGTTTGGGTTAGTTTGAGTAAGTTTGCAATAAAATGCTAACTTACGAGGACAAGATCGCACTAGGCGGACGGGTTAGTTTGGGTTAGATTGAGTAAGTCTGCGTTTTCTTGATTATAATTGATTCAATTTGTTCATCACTTATTCTATAGTTCTAAGTAGGACAGCATGATAAACTTTATTAACAAAAGAAACAAAATAAATTAGTTAAAAATACAAATTATGGAATGCTAAGTTTAAATGGTTAAGTTAAAAGCTACTGCTTTAAGATGATTTTGGACGTTGGAGAAAGGGTATTCTTGGACTAAGTTTAACAATCGAGAATTAACTTGCTTATATTTTGAACTCCTCGCTGGGGTCCTTTATTTGTTGACAGCCATTTCAACAACGTTTTTGTCCCTCGCGTTTTTGTTCCGTCGTGCTTTTGTCCCTCGCGCTTTTATTTCTCGCGCTTTTATACAGTCGCGTTTTTGTTCCGTCGCGCTTTTGCTCTTCGCGTTTTTGTTCCGTCGCGCTTCTGTCCCTCGCGCTTTTGTTCCTCGCGTTTTTATCCAATCGCGTTTTGTCCATCGCGCTTTATTTCAGTCGCGTTTTTGTTCCGTCGCGGTTCTTTCCCTCACGTTTTTGTTCCGTCGCGCTTTTGTCCCTCGCGCTTTTGTTCCTAGCGTTTTTATCCAGTCGAGTTTGTGTCCATCGCGCTTTTGTCCTGTTGCATTTTTGTTCCGTCGCGCTTTTGTCTGTCGCACTTTTTGTATCGCGCTTTTCTCCCTCGCGCAAACGGTTGTCGCGTAAATGACACAGAGCCATGCTTTTCACTTATTATTGGCGTAGCATTATCCATGGAAATTTGGCATGTTGACCCTCGTAAAATAATGACAGTATATGTCAAATTCCAGACAGTTTTAAGTGTGGTTTACATAAGTGCCGCGGTATTAAAATTTTCTGGCCTATCTGGCAAATCAAATTTGACACATTTTTCAATGCATTTTCCAATAATGCTATATTATAAATGGTACCTAACTATTTTGCGTTCCTGCAAAATCTAATGACATTTTTTAAAATTCGGCATTGTCAAATTTCTCTCGTATTGAAGATGCCGAAAATAATCTCAGAAGAAAAAAAAGGGAAATATTAAAATATAACCATGATATTTTAATATTTAAAAAAATATATAAACCAGAGGCTCTCCAGGGAACAATTGAAGCCCAACTTGCAGATATATTTGAGATAGGTATAACTTAAATGTAGATGTGAAGCCATTTTTTACCCAACCAACATTTTCCTTAAATTTTAGGTGGGAACCAGGACTATTCAAAGAATTTTGACTGGACAATATACAATCAAAAAACCTTTAGGCCGACCGACCGAAAAAGACTATTATGGACCCAATGTTTAAAGTAGATTTTTTTTTATATAGGTTATGTCAAGTCTTGTTTACATTTTTGTTTTTAAAATATTTTAATGTTTTTTAAATTAAATAAGTGGTTTTTATTGGTGAATTGTGCTTCTGTTCTGTTCTTGATTCACGGGGTGGTGAAACAACTTAGAAAACGCCAAGAAATTACCTGTTTTTATTCAAAATATATTAGGCATTCCAGAATATATTTTCTAACCTCTAACCAGCAACATGGCAAACAAATGTTATAAATGCAATTTGGATTGTGTTTTTAAGGAAGATAAGACAAATTCAAATCTTTTTGGCTATCCTTGCGATGTATGTAGCAGGGTAATATGTCAAAACTGTAATAAAAAAAACACAGGCCCAAGAAGTAAGAGTGATACCAAGTCAAACTCGAACACTGGTTCATATGTGCCCCGAATGTCTGCAAGACCTCAAAAATGTGCCAAAGCTAATGAAATTGATAAGCAATCTTAAAACAGAGGTAAATACGCTTAATGGTAAAGTTGCATCATTGGAATCTAGAATTGACACAGTGGGGCAAACGGATGAAAAAGAACAAGTGGCCCAACTTGGGAAAAAGATTACTGAAGTAAATGCTCATGATACATGTTACAGGAATACTGCGACTAATAGGAAAGATGAAACTACTGATGTCATTAAGCAATACTTGCATGAACAATCGGAACAACTAACAAACAAACTGGATTCTGTTGTGAGTGCCATCAAGAGTGCGAATAAGGATCTTGTAAGCTTTTTAACCAAATCAGATCACTTTCAAGCACAAAATAAAGCACAACCTAAAAAAGATGTACTAGTTTTGAAAAACAATAGTACTGAGGAAAATAGGGCTTTGAATAATGCAGCCTACACTAGAACTAAAAGCTTCAAGTGGATCAAACTCTGCGTCTGGAGCTAGTGGTGGAATTTGTTCTGGGCCTGAACGTCCTGGTCTAAAAGTGGCGAATAAAAACATAGGTGAGAGAATGGTAAAACTTAGTTGGGTTTATCTCTCCAATCTAGATATTGAAACAAAACCAGATGATATTTTGGCTGTACTCGACCCTAAGTTTACTCATATTTGCCAGTGTCATAAACTACCCTCAAGATTTGAAAACCCAAATAGTGCAGCCTTCAAACTGGGTATTCCTGAAGAACTGGAAGAAAAGTACCTTTCCACGAACTTTTGGCCTGATGGCTGTGTTGTTGGCCGATATAAAAATGTAGGTCAGGACAATCATGGAAGACCCAAAGGTTTTTATCGGACCCATAAAAATTTTTCACAACCAATGCATCGTCGGAACTGGAAGTAGAGATGCCAAATCACAGTCAGTCCTCGTGTGAACTACCTAGCACAGATATTGATGTAAGCTCTCTGAAAATTGTTCATATAAACCCCTGGTCGATCTGCAATAAATTTTCTGATATCAAAAATTATATTCTCCAATCTGATTTTGACATTATTGCAATTTCGGAGACATGGCTAAATACCGACATACCCTCTCATTTATATGCTCTAGAAAATTTTACATTATACAGAAACGATAGGACTGGTAGGGGAGGGGGTATTGCAATCTATGTTTCCAGTAGGCTGCACATAGTGTCAATCATAACTCCAGATATGGATAATGGAATAGATGTGCTCTGGTTTACCTTTAAACACAACAAACTGTGTGCCAGTCAGGGTTGGCATGATTTAAATCAAATGATTTAAATCACGATCGAGATCACGATTTAAATCAAGTGATTTTTTTGAAAAAAATCAATGATTTAAATCGATTTTTAGAAATTGAAAATATATTTGTTTATTTTGATACATATACTTATATAAATAGGATAACCAAAGAGGATTTAGTAATCATTAAGAAATTTCTGACTGCAACCATCCTCAGCTAGGGTAGAGAGAATATTTTCAACCTACATATTATAATCTGCCATAATGATTTGAGAAATCGACTTGGCAATGAAAAGGCGGCAAAGCTGGTATATTAAAAAATCGGAATGATTTTTTTTTATATATAAGTAGTATTATTTTCATTAAAAGCTTTGTTCTTTAAATTAGGAAGAAATTGGTCGTGCCTTTTGCAAGCAAAACTTTGAGTGGAAATGAACAAAGCAGGGTGATATTTGTCCTCCTTGACAAAGGGACTGGCATTGTGAACAACGCTACAATCTAAATTTGTCACAACAAGATCCAACAAACGATCTGAGCAATTACGCACACTGTTGTACTGCTTAAGTTCAAAAAAATTCATAAAATTGTTAATACTAGTGAAGTATCTATCATTCTGGTCAAAATCAACAAAACCTGGATTATTAAAATCTCCCAAAGCCAAGATATTTTTATTAAATAATTGCTCAAATTGTTCTAATGATTCAAAAAATAATTCAACAGTTTCTATAGGTAAGGATGGCGGAATATAAATAACTAAAATAAACAATACTCTATGGGATATCACACATCGGTTCATAATAAAGTCAATTTCTGGGAAGTTCTGCTTTAAAAATGGCATTTGAATGGCTTCACTTTTCACAGTATTTTTTATAGCTAGTAAAACACCACCCCCACTCTCACGGCCAGTTGCAGCAAGATCCCGATCCTTCCTAAATACTTGATAATCATCATTAAATAGCTCAATATCTTTCACATTAGAACTAAGCCAGGTTTCAGATAATGCTTACAAATATACTACCAAAATTTCAGTCTGGTTTCAGATCACATTATAGCTGTGCCACTGCCTTACTTAGAATAACTAGTGACATTTCGGCTGCTTTCGATCAGTCACATTGTTGTCCCTCAGTTTTGGTAGACATGACTAAAGCATTTGACAGTTTAGACTTAAATCTTCTACTTGCAAAGTTACAGTATTATAACATTGGGGAGCAAGACTGGCTCAGAAGTTACCTTTGTGAGAGACAGCAGGTAGTTAGACTGGCTGGGGTTGAAGGAGTGATGGTGTCTGATTGGAGGGTTGTGACGAGGGGAGTACCACAGGGATCTATTCTCGGTCCACTTCTCTTCACAATCTTCGCATCAGATCTTGTAGATCGAATATCTTACTGTAAATATCACATGTATGCAGATGACCTTCAAATTTATCTTCTAACATCCCCGGCTGATCTTTCTGACACTATTGAAATGATCAATGTAGATCTACAAAATATATCAGAATGGACTTCTGATAACTCTCTTTTTATAAATCCCAACAAAACACAAGCTATACTGTTTTCGCGGACCGATATTGATTTATCTTCTCACCATATTACCCTTAACGGTGTTGCAATTGAATGGGCTGATGAAGTGAAGAACCTCGGACTGTATATGGACAGAAAACTTTCATTTAACTCACATGTTAGTAATATATGCCAAAGATCATATTACAAATTAAAACTTATCTATGAATTCAAAAACACTCTTTCACCTAATGTTAAAAAACTCTTGACTGAAAGTTTGGTGCTATCTATTCCGGGGTATCTAGATGTGGTTTACTTACAAATCTTAATAAGAATATAATAAGAATGAAGGATGAACTAGATCAGATGAGCAAAGTTGGTAATGAGATGTTAACTACGATAAGAATTTTTGAGGATGAGAACAAACGGTATGAGCGAGAATTAGAACAAGTCAAGAACGATTATGATAGAAAGCTAGCAGAACTTACCATAAAAATTAAAAACACGGAGTACAGCAAACAAAAGCACAAGAATGGCAATGGGATAGACAGCAACAACACCAGAAGCAAAGTTAGGCAGGACAATAATTATGAAGGGATTAACAAGGATAGCAACTTCAGAGGCTATACCAGCAATGACATGATGGGCACACAAAACGCAGACATAGACTTCGCAGGCGAAAATTTTTCCACCCATCAAAAAAAACACAAAATTCTTGTTCTCACCGATGAGTACGGTAAATATTTATTCCCCCATCTAGAGAAACTTCTCTTAGGCAAATTTGAACTGCAAGTTATATGCAAACCGAACGCTACTTTTATAGATGTTATAAATGGTCAAAACTCTTCAATCTCCAAAATGACAACATCTGATTTTGTGATAGTATTGGCCGGGTTAAATAACAATGACATTAGGTTAAGAGATATCTCATTGCTTACAAACTTGTGCTTTTACACGAACCTGATAGTTTGCACAATACCTGCTAAGTATGATTGCAGCATCCCTTACAAAAACATTGAAATTATAAACAATAAGATCATAAGCTCTATTACAAACTTGAGAAGATTCTGTACTAATATAAACTATCTTGATCTTTATAATAAATTCAGGTACTCTGATTACTCTCGAGGCATTTTTCTTAATAAAAAGGGTCTCACTAAAATGGCTTCATTTATTAATTCTATGGTGGCCAAATTTAATGACTTATCTTCTTGTTGTTGTTTAAAAGCAATTGACTTATGTGTGGACAATGCTGTTAACGATTTAGAATTAAGTATTGATACATTGAAATTAACCACTGACAAGAATTTAGAATTAGGAATTGACAAAAAATTAGAATTGAGAATTGACAAAAATTTAGAACTAGGCATTGACCATAATGTTTCCAATATAACTTTTTTAGAACCCCCTCTCTCAGAAACTCTAATAAAATGACATCAAACCCAATTTCAATTTTGTCCTTGAATATACAATCTGTTCGCAATAAGATAGGTGAACTTGAGGTATTTTTGGACGGTCTTAATAAGCCAGATTTAGTATTACTTACAGAACATTGGCTGAGAGTTTGGGAACCATTTAATTTACCAGATTATCTCGTTGTGTCACAATGTTGCAGGGAGACCTCTGATGGTTATGGAGGTGCAATGATTTTGATTGAGAAGTCGTTCTTTTCAACTTTTGCATTAGAAGCTGTGAATAAATTTGATTTTTTATGCATTGAGAAAGAATTCGAGTTTTCAATAGGATTCAACAGAAAAAATAAGTTGTATATCATATGCATTTATAGGCCGCCTAGTGCGAATGCATCAAATTTTTTAATAAATCTAGAAACCATACTTCTTAACCTACCATCACAGTCAAAAATAATTATCTGTGGTGACCTAAATATAAACTTTTTGAACAATGATTCCGCAACTACATTGGATCTAAAAAAATTATTGAATTCCTACGGATTAACCATGTTTGTCAATTCCCCAACCAGAATAACTGGAGAATCTGCATCTTTGATTGATTACTTCTGCACAAATATAAATCAAGATAAGGTTAACTGTAATGTAATCGCTACTCCAAACCTCTCCGATCACGAGGCATTGCTGGCCAGCTTCAGCCTTTTTCGGGACTGTATAAAAATACCATCTAGATATGGAAGAATCTTTTCAGGGGCGAATTTTGAAACATTTCGAACTAATTGTTCTTCCGTTGATTGGGGATGCATATCTGAATCTGAAAATCCACTCGAAAGATTTCACTATCTGTTGTATGATACTTTTGACAGGTCCTTTCCGTTACGCAAGTTAAGAGCAAAAAATCACAAAAAGTCATGGCTAACAAAGGGCATAAAACTTGCTTCTAAGAATTTAAAATCACTTAATTATATAAAAAAATTTACAAAAACCCCTGCTTTTGACAACTACTTAAAAAACTATAAACGAATCTACAGACAAGTGATCAAAACAGCTAAACGCTGGCACTATCAAAATAGGATGAATAACGCTAAAAATACCGCAAAAGAAGCATGGGCAATTGTGAACGAGCTTAAGGGAAAAAACAGCCTTGCCAAGCCACCTGCTGAAATAGAAGTAAACGCTTTTAATCAATTTTATTGTACAGTTGCAAAAAGACTCTCAGATAATTTGGAACCCCTAGCAAATCCCCTATCTTATCTTAATCACCAAGCGTATATCGGCGAACCATTTCTACTGACTGAAACAAATGCGTATGAAATAAAAGCTATAATAACAGATA